AAGACGAATTTTTTTTATAAATAAAAATAAAAACACAGTAATTATTCTAACATGAAATAATGAAATATTCTCATAATTTCAAATATTTTTGACTAGTTTCATCGTATTTTTCTATGGTGACTTCTTTTTAAGAACAACAGTTTGTTTTTCAATCGTTACATTAAATCAGAAAAAGAAAGAAAGCTTTGATTAGGACAAAGAATCTTACGCATAATTCAGCGAGATATCCACATTTATGTACGTCAAATATATATATATATATATATATATATATAAATATATATATATAAATACAAACAAACTCAAAACACAAACTTTCAGTGGCTAACGTCCAGTTACCTCAAATAAGAAAACGCGACTGAATTGGTGTCAATCGGAGAGTCCACCAATAAGCCGAAGAGGAAGGGATGGATGAATTTATTTTTTAGATAAACACACAGTGACAGACGGGACTCAATTGCTTTGCCGAAGAATGCTATATATATATATATATATATATATATATATATATATATATGTGTGTGTGTGTGTGTGTGTGTGTGTGTGTGTGTGTGTTTGTGTGTGTGTGAATATATATATATATATGTATAAAAAACTCAATCGTAAAGAGAGAAAAGCTTAAAACAAGATTAAGGTGGTCTAATTATATTTTGATATACATACATATCATACACACACACACACACATATATATATATATATATATATGAATATAAAATGTGTATATATTTATATTTATATATATATATATATATATATATATATGGTAAATATGTATGTATATATATATTGTGTATTTACTGCATTTTTCATTCATACATGTTTCATTAAATAATATGGTTGTCTATTTATTTTATGTAAATTCTTTTCATATTGTTGATAAGATTAACATTATCTTTAAACGAAGAAAGAAAATCAATAACAGATTTCATTTTAAAATTTTTTTTAGATACGTCATCAAAGATTGTTTTCCTCTTCCTTCGGATAAGACAAGAATTTTTTTTACATGGAAACAAAAAACAAAAACTAGATAAGATTGGAAGCGAAAAATTCATCAACATGAAAATAAGAAATAATCATAATTTCAAATATTTTTGACTATATATTAAAGTATATATTTATAAATATGTGATGTGCAGCAAAAATGAAAGTTTGTTTTTCCATCGTCCAATGTGAAAGAATCAGTTAAAAAGTCATTGGACAAAGGCAGCAATTATTAGGACGAGTTTTGATCTTTTGAAAAATAATTAAATAGAGAAATTTAAAAATATAAAATACACACCACCTACCATATATATGTGTGTCTGTGTAAACTTGTATATGTATATATTAATATTGATGATATCTTTGATATTGAATATTGTTTAAATAATTAATCTGTTGTCAATTTTACCTGACGCGATTTAAGTCTCTCACCTAAATTAAAACGCTACATGATCTTACGCATAATTCAACGAGAGATCCGCATTTAAATAACCGATTCAGTATGCAAAAAACCAAATAAACCTGTGTTGGTTTTAATTAATGTTTTTTTTTAGTTGAATATTTTTTTTAAATTTTTTCACTTCGGTTCATTTAAATGTTGTATGTTGATTAAAACGAGTCATACGAATCGTCATATCATGTTCTTTCATTGTTATGTTTATCTGTTTATTATACTGATTTTCTAACGGTAATTTATATGTGGCACAATGACGAAAATATGCGGCGCCGAGTGAGGTATGAACTCACTACTCAATCAAAAGTGTTCCAGAGACACAAGCTTGTTAACCCTAACCCACGCCGAGGTACCCAACTTTATTTATTTATCAGAGAAATTTTCTAACGGTAATTTACATGTGGCACAATGACGAGTCTATGTCGAAGGGCAAAGTCTCGTCTCGTGGAAACAGCTACCCGACCCCGTTTTATACGGGATCTACGGGGAATTATGAGTGGCACCATGCATACCTGACGAGCTGAAAAGAAATATTCATAGATATATGATTTGTTTTTTACGGTTTATCAACCATTTAATAATTATTTAGGGCCGAAAAAATATTTTGGGTTTGAAAAGAATAATTCTTTACATTCAAGCGATCTGGAAGAAGGAAAGAGAAAACGAAGAAGAAAAAAAGAAAAAAAAATAATACGAAAACAGGTCATAGGCGAGCACACACGCACGGCTGACAGATAACAGGTGTCGAAAAATATTCAGGTCAAACATCTGACCGAGATCCGCGGAAAATGGAAGTTGTTATCACTTGGTTGTCATCCAAGGGAAAAGAAAGAAAAGAAGTAACGAAGTTTAGGGACAATGAAAATATTGATAAGTAACAAGTGGAAATGTTCTTTGGAATGATAGTAAAAGGTCTTTTTTGGGTGGGAAGTGTATCTAAGGATATGAAGGCAAACCATTAATACGAAAACCCAGACAGTCTCCAGAATTGGAAAAAAAAGCCACACAAGATGATGTCGCTGAAAATTTTTTTGAGATAATAAAGATTTTTATTATCGGACCTTCGGGTGGAGGAAAATGAAATATTTTTATTTCGTTCAAAACATAACGGGTCTGAAAATCGTTTTCTTAGATCATATCCAATTAGCGATAAACTGCTTGACAAATACCACGTGTTAAAAAGCCCGAAGGTGTCATTTCAGTCGCTCAATGATAAGGGCGATTTAAATTAATATTTTTTGTTTTTAAGCAAGGTGTTTCTTTCCCCAAAACAAAGCCACGGATTGTATACGCCCGACTAAAGACGTCATTGGTTAAATAAGATCACATTGACACACGAAGGAGGAGGAAAGATACCGACCAGGACCTCATTGGCCGAGAGCGGTCACGGACGCACGAGGAGAATCGGTCGACGCCCCTGTAAAGTTTATTGTAAGGAGCCGATACGAAGAAGCAGGGAAGCTGGTATACGCCCCTCAGAGGCACATTTAAGGATCGGGATGTGAGAGGAGTTACCGAAAATATAAATATATAACCAGAAATAAGAAGGGTGGATATATATTTAGAATCATCGAAAAAACCCCTAAAATTGACAGACCCACCCAGTTTTGACTGCGTCAATAAAAACGAGACCCCAACCGACAGAAATCAGTTTGAGCCGCGGACGGCGGGTCAGGTTCGTTCGCCCCTTTGAGAGCAAGAGGCCAGTTCGTTTGGCCTCTGAACTGAAGAAGTTCGTTCGACCCAAGCCGAAGAGAAGAAATAGTTCGCGCACCGACAGCGATCTAGTGACCAGTAATTCAGACTCTGAAGAGAAGAAGTTTGAGTTGAGCTGCGGACGGCGAAAGAGTTCAACCGTGGGCGACAAGCAGAGATGAGCGCCCAGTGTTGAAACCGCGTCAAGATAGCTGACCAAGATTCACGCACTTCTGGACTCTTCTTCAACCAAGAACAAGTAGTTTGAAGAGCGACTTAGAATCAGACCTACTGAAATTAAGTTTTTTCTGGAAGCCTTAAATTTTTTAGTAAAAGCGTCGCCACAATCCACAGAACGGGTCGGGAAGTAGACATAGTTTTATGTACCGAGCAATTAGACATAAAAGTTTGTTACCTTTTTCTTGATACGTTGGACCTTGTGAGTTTTATTTTATTTTCTTTTATACAAAATTGTGTGTTATCACCCCTGTTGGACTCAACACATTACGGCCCCAACCCTTGTTTGATCTCGTCTGTCTAAGATCAATTCTACAATGGGTAGGCAGACTGGAGATCAGCGCAGTTACCCTGGTAACCAGGCGTTAAGCGGGTTGGGAACGGCAAGGTTGGTATCAATCCAACCAAAGGGTTAGAACGTCGTTTGAGCAGCGAGGAGCGAACTCTGACGCCGCGGCTAAGACGTGAACAAATGGTGCTGTCCGTGACCAGGATATAAGAGCCTGGGGTGGACGTGACGTCACAATTGGCGCCGCGACTGGATCGAACGACACAGTCGACGCTGCGACCGGGGGACGATTTCACAATGGCCGAGCCAACGGTTTGAATAATACACATTAAATTCGGACTTTTGCGCCAAGATTTGACCGCGTGGGACTGTTGGTAAGATATCCCGCAGTTGGAGATTCATCTAGAATTCAACAAACTAAACTAAAAATTGAATACTTCACTCGCCGCTGGCGAATTTAATGTGTCGTACGTTTGTCTAATATTATTTTTATTTCCATTCTGTCTAATGATATTCTGTTCGATAAATATCTTAGATTCAACAGTTCTTAAACTTAAAAAAACGCCATCGACAGTTTTATATCTGTTTTTAAATACATGTTGCAAAAATAAAATCCTTACATTTACAGGGTGTATCACAAATGTTGAAACGAAGAAGTGGCTTCTCAGTTGGGCAGAGCTCGAGAAACATGAAGACCTTGATGAGGACGAATAGGGATTCCAGCAGAATGGTGCTCCCCATCACACTGCTAATGTTACCATGGTATGGCTCCGTGAAATGTTTGGAGAGCGACTCATGAGCCGCGAAGCTGAAGCGGAATGGGCACCTCACTAGCCTGATCTGGAACCCCAAGATTTCTTCTTCTTCCGGTTCCGGTTCCTCAAGGACATAATCTACCACGACATCCATTAGATATGGCACGTGGAACTAGAAGAGTCTAGCGAACGAAATAAAGGATTCAGATCGACATTTCAACCACCTGAAGAAGGCCGGAGCGTACAACGCCCGAAACGTTGTGATAAACAAGGCAACAAAGAAGAGGACAT